ATAAAATGGAATTTCTTTAGAACTTGTTAGCTTTAAGCTCTATTAGTAATATTCTTACTAATTAATGCTCAGTTATTTATATATACATATTTTTTCTTACTTACTTAACTAGAATTCAACCATGAAAAATCTTGAAGCATTTGAACGAAAATGAAATCATTTGACAGAGGGCATCTATGATAGCAGACCTCTTTCGATCTGCACAATTAATGAAATGACTATTTAGCATAATTAAGATTCAACAATTTACTTTTTGCGTGCTATTCGACATATTCCCACTTACGGCCTGTCGCACAGGGCGTATACATAATTTGCTTTTGGGCAAAAATTAATTGCTTGAATGACAGTGTGACAGGCGTGTCGTGCCGCCCAGAGGGCAGCAGCTGGGTGAGCTAATAGAGCAAATTGCCGTTTACTGATAAAGCAACAGCAGCAGCTACAACAAAAATTTGTTTGCTCAGCGGGTGTTTGGCCTTAAAACGATTCAAAGCAAAGGCGACTCCACCCTCAGCCGCATGACGTGTGCCGCACAAATTTAAATAAAACACAAATATATACAAATATTTATGTACATATGTTTATATGTATTCGAGCAATATAAAACATTGTTACGAATTATTGCAGAGCTATTAAAAATAGATATTAATCGAGTGCAGTGACTCGACAAGTGGGGAAGCCAGCGCGCTGCTTCATCAAAGTTATTTATGACGCGACGCATCGAGTGTCTGGTCCTAAAAGTGGAAGGCAATCACTTGTAAGGACTCAATAGCAGTGAAGCACAGTGGCGCAGAGTTGAGCGAAATTGGAGTGAAAATGAGAGAAGATATTAATTGATTTAGATTGTATTAAAAACTCTCAAAATTAAAGGGAATTTTTGTATATGCCTAAGATAAATTATAGCTTAGAATTTTAGTGTTTAGAAAAAGTTTTTTAAAATTCAATTTTCACTTAGAAGTTGACAGTTTAAATGGCAAAATAAATAATTAAAATACCTAAACTTTAAGCTTAAAAACTGAGCTTTATACAAAAGCTGCAAATTAAGCGAACTTTTTGTTGCTTTTCTCGCTTCAATTTTTGAACTTAAAGTGGTATAAAAAATTATATAAAAATATTTGATATTGAGGAATTTTAAGGTAAATTAATAAGAAATAAATTTTATATTAGCACCAAAAGCAGCCTCTAAAGAGATAAGTCTTTGCCCATTTAGTTAGCCAAAGTCTCTAGTCAAATCTAGGCTAAAAGCCTTTGAAGTTCATGAAAGTAAATTTAATATAGGCAATTTAAAGGCCGCTAGCTGGGAATGCACGACTAGAGGATACCCTGAACTCAATCAAACTTCGCTGCTCCCACTTTCCTTGGGTAGACATTGCTACAATTTCCCTTATACTGCAAGCCACTGTGCCAGCCCTTCGCATATGCCGTTGCTTAGACTGTGAAATTGAGCACGTTCAGGACTTTGTTAATCGGATTTGTGTAAAGCGAGACTTTGTATGCGCCCTGCGCCCTGTTGCCTCGTGCTTCATGTGATGATGTTTGTTGCCTTTGCTTCTGTCGTTGCAGCTCTGCGATGTGCGCCTCGAGGTGGGCGGCGACACCATCAATGCGCATCGCGTGGTGTTGGCTTCCGTCTCGCCTTACTTCTATGCCATGTTTAATGGTAAGTGAAACAGCTGGACGACTCCCAGGAGAGAGATAGGTTTTTGAACTGTATTTGGCTTTTCCAGATGATATGCTCGAACGCACACAGGGCTTGGTGCGTTTGCACGACGTGGACAGCGCAGCGTTGAGGCAGCTGATCGACTACACCTATACAGGTGAAATAACCATAACGGAGCAGAATGTCCAGGTGTTGTTGCCGGCATCGGGTCTGCTGCAGATGCACTCGGTGCGAGATGCTTGCTGTAAATTTCTGCTGCGCCAACTGCATCCATCCAATTGCCTGGGCATACGCAGCTTTGCCGATGCCCATTCCTGCAAGGAGCTGCACACTCGCTCCCACAAATACGCGCTGCAGAACTTCCAACAGGTCGTCGGCACGGAGGAATTTCTGTTGCTGCCCTTCGAGGAGGTCAAGGAATTGATATCGAATAGCCAGCTGAACATTAGCTCCGAGGAGAAAGTGTTTATGGGCGTGCTCAGCTGGGTGAAACACGATCTCGGCCAGCGCCGTTTGCACATTGCCGAACTAATGTCACACGTCCGGTTGCCGCTGGTCAGCCGCGATTTCCTGATGAGCTGCGTCGAGGCGGAGACGCTGATGCGCGACGATTCCGAGTGCAAGGAGCTGCTGCTGGAGGCCATGAAATATCATTTGCTGCCGGAGCAGCGCAGTCTGATGGGCAGCCAGCGCACCCAGGAGCGACGACCCGAGGGCATGAGACCCTACATCTTTGCCGTGGGCGGCGGCAGTCTGTTTGCCATACACAACGAGTGCGAGGTCTACAATCCGCGCTGCAACAGCTGGTCCCCAGTGGCGCCTATGCTCTGGCGTCGCTCTCGCTCCGGCGTCACGTCGCTGCACAAGCAGCTCTATGTGGTGGGCGGATATGATGGCGTCAGTGATCTGGCCACTGCCGAGTGCTACAATCCGTTGACTAACAAGTGGAGCAACATCACGCCGATGGGCACGAAACGCAGTTGCTTGGGCATTTGTGCCTATGACGGCTTGATCTTCGTCTGCGGCGGCTATGATGGCGCCTCGTGTTTGAGCAGCATGGAGAGATACGATCCATTAACTGGCATCTGGAGCTCCTGCCCGGCCATGAGCACGCGGCGTCGCTACTGCCGCCTGGCTGTGCTGGAGAATCAAATCTATAGCTTGGGCGGCTTCGATTCGACCAACTATCAGTCGAGCGTGGAGCGCTTCGATCCACGTGTGGGTCGCTGGCAGCCAGTGCCCAGCATGACGGCTAGGCGCAGCAGCTGCGGCGTCGCCTCCACGGATGGACACTTGTACTGCATTGGCGGCAACGATGGCACCATGTGCATGTCTAGCGGCGAACGATTCAACTTGCGTCGCAACTGCTGGGAGCCCATAGCAGCGATGCACTCGCGCAGGTGGACTGGGAGAGCTGTTGCCTAATCAAACTTATATTAATGTGTGTTCCTTTACAGATCCACGCACGAGGTGGTCGAGGTGGAGGGCGTGCTGTTTGCCTTGGGCGGCAATGATGGCAGCTCCTCGCTGAACTCCGTGGAACGTTATGATCCACGTCTGAACAAATGGAGCGTGGTGAATGCCATGGTGGCGCGTCGCAGCTCGGTGGGCGCTGCTGTGCTGGAGTGCTTCCATTTGGAGCGCGGACTGGTGCAGACGACGAACTTATGACCCCCTCCTCCGCTGAGCAGCATCAGCGAATCCTTCGCCGCTGCCACAGCGAACGGCGCTAGCAACAACAGCAACAGCAACAGCAGCGCTAACAGCAACGGGAACACTGGAACTCTGAATGTGCCCAGTCGTGCTGAGGCCGCTGCCTTTACGGCCAACATTGCTTTGAGCTCGTCAGCGCCGTCGGCTAGTTCCACATTGCGTCGCCATCGACGTGAAACGCCAGCGCTGGCCGAGAGTCGGCGTGCCAATAGCAATGCCAGCAGCAGCAGCAGCAGCAGCAGCAGCAGTAGCAACAGCGATAGCAGCACAGTTGCCACAGGCGGCAAAACACCTGCGACTGCCTGATCCTGGTCCATGTCGAGCTGGCGACAGCCCTAAAGAAGTTACACTAAACTAACGTACATACAAAGCTAACCCCAACGCGCCTATGGCAGGAATTATGATTGATTGATTGTTCGAGTTCGTTATTATGAATAGATATGATATGATATGATATGATATAGTAGATATATATATATTTATGAGCATTGCTATGGGAAAAGCTAATGGCACCTTAACTCAAAAGTCAGGCCACCTTTTTTTGCTCAAGTAGATCAAAAAAAAAAAAACACCAACAAAATAATCAATTTGTATTTAAAGTGAAATCGAATTTGAATGCACTTTAAATACCAAAAAGATCTATTGTTAAAGCTTATGCAGAGAATTTCGTATAGAGTAGCAGCGAGAGTACGATAACATTCCTAATTTTTGTCTATCTAAGAACTATGTCCAAATTCATATTTCAGCTCATTCCAGTGTATTTATATTCCATCTTTGGAATAGCCATTGAACTTTTTTAGAGCTTTATCCAGCATATTGATGTTGGTTGGAAGTTTGAACAGTTGTGGAAATTTACCTCAAAACAGCTCGGAACTACATGACCCTGAAGAGCTTTTTATTTGACAACTTGCTTTGTGCTCATATTCTCACTGGAATTTGAAACAGTTATAAAAATGTTTATTACAAATTCTGTAACTAAACGGCTAAGAGCTTATTCTACTAGACAAATTCCAGTGTATTAATTTTCTCACTAATATTTGGAGCACTAATTGAAATCTACTCTAAAATCCTACTCTAAAATTTCCAGTGCACTCATTTTATGTTATGGAAATTTACTTTACAAACTACGCATAAGCATAACAATAGATCTATATATATATAAAATATACACACACATATTTCTAGTCAAGATCTCGCACGAACTTAAAACACTCCCATATGTAATAGCTATACAAGGAAGGAACCTAATCTGCCTACAATTTACATTGAATCTATCTATACATACATACATATTATAAATTATACTATATATATACATACATATATATATACACCATACCTCTCTCTTATGTACTATTCTTATGTATTTTATACATGCAATTATTATAATAAGTAAATGTTTCGTATTTGATGAATTTTCAATAAGGTCCACTAATTGTATAAGATTTATATATATAGATATATATATACATATATATATGATATATATGATACACAGATACATAGATACATATATATCATATAGATATATATATACATGTATGGTCGGTCTGTGTGGTTCTTGCTTTGTACTGGGCTTTGGAGTTTTTCTTTTCTATTTTTGTTGGTTCTTCCGTTAACCTGTTGATTCTTCATCGTGGATTTAGACCATGCGCTCAGCGGTGCTGCGTGCCACATCGCCCACATTGGATTCGGCTCCCAGTTTGCGTGCCTGTAGCCAATTCTTGGGCAAGCCGGTGCCAACTGTGAAAGGTTTAAGGTTTTAAGGTATTTAGGACAAGAGTTTTATCATCAATCAATTTGTTGTTTAGAGGTTTTTCGACATGGTTTTTCTCAATGCGCATTTATTAACAGTTTTTCTTTTCATGGTGAATTCTTGAATGGGACAAAACGCTAAATGCTGCGGCAACTCAGCCGCTTGCCACACGCCTGTGCATACCTTGCTTCGAATCACTTCGCAATGCGGCAACGATATGAAATGAATTTGTTGTCGCATTGCAAGTTGAATGCAAAAATGATTAAAATACAAGAAGCATAGGCAAACAGAAGGCGGGCAATAGAAAAACAGTTTATATATGTATATAACTAACGGAACTTAGGCACTAGGCTTATATATTTATGCAATTCGCGTGATGAAACAGCTTAAACATTGAATTGATCGCATTGAAATTTGATTTGAACGACGATTAGCTTATTGTTTTACAGCCCGCTTACTTAATCCAGATCGAGTGGAACTGCGGTAGCGCGTTTTGGCATTATAAAGTGGAAAGAAAGAAGAGAAACGAATTTGGCAAAGAGAAAAAGAGAAATATATAGAGATATTTAAGATGAAACGCTTCAAAAATTTAGTTACACACGCTCTATATATATATATATAAATGTAGTTATAGGTCTAAAATTGTTTTGGCCAATGCTCGAAACCAAAAACCAAACAAATTTTTGTTGTTTCATGTTTTTTTGCAACTTAAATTTTAACTCAGTGACGAAACGAGTTATTTACTTTTGTAAACCTTCTCAGTCATGTCATCGAAGCCAGAGTCCTGAATGTTCAGCATCAAGCTGTCAGCGGACAAATAAACCTTGTTCTGTGAGCTGGCAATCTGTGGAGAGAATGAGAATCATCAACTCTTAATGTTTCCTTTGGAGCCTTATATGAGTATACTTACCGTGCGAGCAATGCTTTGAGCTGCGCGTAGTTTACGTAGCTTGAGATAAGCTGGATTCTGCTTAACAGCCAGACCTAAGTAAACATATCAGTTAAGGTGCAAACCAGGTGCAATAAATATAAGAGAAATGTCATTAATATATGTTAGGCTAGGCATATAAATGCCTGGCTAAATGGTATGTTTTGTAAAAAGGATATCATTTTAGCTGCCTCAGCTTCACCCTCAGCTTGAACAATTTTCTGTTGTTTCTCCTGTTTGGCACGCTCCACAAAGAAGACAGCGCGCTGCGCCTCTTGCTGTGCCACCTGTTTGGCCTCAATAGCTGCCGTATATTCCTTGCCAAAGCTAAGTTCAGTCAACGAAACATCATCCAAAATGATATTGAAGTCACGCGCACGCTCCACCAACTCCTTGCGTATCAGCAGCGAGACCTAAAAACAAAATAAATGCCATTAGAGATAAGAAATTTAAAGAGCGATTGAATTTTAGCAAGAGCCAAACGACACAACATAGAGAATAGAGTAATTGAGAGCAAGCCAGACTTGTTACGCTCTGGAACAATTTAAGAGAGTAAGCAGTCCTCTTCCTTGATCATAATAAGCGCGTTAAGAACACGAGTGAATAAGGAAACCTAGCAAATACCAAACTTTAAGAGAGCGAGTGAATGAGCAACTACTCAAATTGGTATGCGCTTCAAGAGAGTGAGTGAATAAGGAAGCCAAGTAAATACTAAGCTTTGTATATGCTTGGCTTCCTTGTGTGCGTTCGGTCACTCTGTCTCTCTCTCTTCCTCCACGAACATTGTGGGCGAGAGCTGCCGCACATATTTTGTATTGAAAAAAATGTTCCAGAGGTCTCCCATTTCTATATGGTTTTTGGTTAGCACTTTCTACAGACCTGTTGACGTTGTGTAATCAGCTGAGAGGCGTTGAACTTGGCAATAACGCTCTTGAGCACCTCGTTGCAAATGGAAGGCAACACTTTTTCATCGTAGTCGACGCCCAATTGCTTATGCAGGAACGGTAAATTCAATGAATCGGGACGTGATAGCACACGCAACGAAATATTGATCATTTGCAAATCTTTCGATCCGGTGGGTGATGAAATTTTGCGGGGACGCGAGCGGATATCATAAATAATTGGATATTGGATCCATGGAATGCGCACATGCAGACCCTCAGAGTAAATATCATTCTGAATGCCACCCAAGCGGCTGAAGATGATCGCACGATGACCACCCTCCACTGCAAAGAGAGAAAAACATTTAGAGTTGTTATGCAACAGCAAACAAATGTGGTGCAGGCAGTTGCTTGAAATGCTATCAATGAAACTTTAGGGCCAATTCGATTGTGATTACAATTTCTAACTGGACTTCATTCAGACATCCATTGGAAATGCATTGTGCAAGCCTTTTGATTAGTTACGAAATTCCACCGCTAGCACTTACACACACAGACGCATACACGCATAGGCACAGCATACAATATGTAGTTTAAGGTTATGTACACATGCCGCTACATAAGTCTTGTTTTTCATATTTGTGTAAGATCCCACGCTGTTTAGAGATATTCCATGTACTTACCGGTATACAAGGACTGGCTAACACCATAGGCCGCTGCACCGACTGCCGCCAATAGCTTCAATCCAACACCCAGACCAGGTGGGCCACCTTTGCCCAGCTTGCCCGCTAAATCATTGAGTTTGCTTTGAGCCATTGTGTGTGTGCTATTTGTAAAAAGTTGTATGTTTTATTACACAATTGCTAAATAATTTAAAGCAGACACACTTTGTTGAGAAATTGAAATAATATGAAACTTTCTTACAAATCAGATCTTACGCACGCTATTTACTTGTGTCAGAGTGTAATTCCTATCGTTTCCATGCACAGCAGTTATCGATAGATATCGAAAGTTGTTGCCTAATATATATATGCATATCGTGTATTTAGAACAGTGACAACCCTGCGCTCTTCGCGCCTTGTTGATTTTTTGTGTGCGTTTAATATAAGGTAATTTACAATCAGTTCGTTTATATAAAATAAAGTGTTAAAATCACATAAAGTGTGTCACATATTCGTTGCGTTATGCAGCTCATTGCGCCCAAAGTTCGTGTCGCGCAAATAGTGCACCGTGGAATCATTTATAAGCGACATAACAATCGCTTTCAAACCCAAAATCGAGGCCAATTTATATTTTAAAGTAACGGAACGAATAAGCTCCACTAAATGAGCTAGAGATAATTCATATTTGGCATTTGTTGGATTGCTTTGCGTGTGCAATATGTAGCTGAAATGGAAGATGATGTTAGAGTAAAGACCGCGAGGTAAGTTATTCATTTTTACTAACCTCTTGACCACCTGCTCAATGACATTGTCATTGATGCGCTGGTGACTGAGATATTGCTGCAGATAATTCGCCCTTTGCAGCAGCACAAATTGTGTTAACAATGCTTCACTCCAGTTGATATCGTAGCCATAGGCGCGACTCAATATAAGGGTTTGTGGAACGCTGAGTTAGATAGATAAATTCATATATTAATAGATGGAGACACGCTGATAGACAGAGATAGACGTTTAGTTGGATTATGGTATAAGAGTGAGGTCTGATTGGAGTTTTGTGAGCGGACTTCTACTCTGTAGAAAATTAGTATAAAATATAAAAAACTTTTTCTTGATACTTTCTAAAGATTCATGAATAAGTAAGAATTGTCCATTAAAAATCCTAAAGTTAAATCCCCAACTTTACATATATTCTCTAGAAAGTCTTGGCCTAGTTGGAATATGTCTGTTTGATTGTCTGATTGGAACGCACCTCAAGTGTTGATTGACCAGCTCGCGGAATTGATCACGTGTCTGCACGCCAATGACACTGATGCACAGAGGTAAAGAAGAGCCGCCTCCGCCTCTTCTCTCCATTGCCTTGTTGCACAAATCCAGCTGCATGGCCATCAGCTCGGCACGTGCAACGCTCTGCTGTGCCAGTATTAGTTTGTTGTCCAGCAAATAGTTTTCGGTGGCGTGCGTGTAGTTCTCGAGTGCTTGCTGCAGCTGCTGCTGCAGCTCGTGGCTGCACTTGAGTTCGGCTGAGCCGACAGCCGCTGAGTTTCGCACTCGCTCCAGGATCAGCTGCGCCTCGTTCGACCACATTTCCGCCAGCTCTTTGTACATGAGAAAATGATGAGCAGCCAGGCGCAGCAGCTCCTTGCCATTCTTGGGATTATATTCGCGCAGATAGCAGAGTATCGCCTGGCGCAGTCCGCTCTTCTGATCCTCATCGAACTGTCCGAGCAGCGACTCGAATTGCTCGTTTTCGATCAGAGCATCGAAGCAGTAGAACATCTCTCTGTAGCGCGCAATGCCGATGAGCAGGCGAACGATTAGCGACCACGACTTGGCCTTGGTCAATTGTCCATTGAGCTGTTTGGCACGCTCCAGCACGCTGGCAATGCCCTCCATGGAGCACTCGTGGACAAAGCACAAGTGTGCCTTGATCAATAGCTCAACGTAGATCTGATTCTGCTTCTTGTGCGAGAGGACTTGGGGTATGCCCGAGGAGCTGACGGTATTGAGACTCAGCGGCAGTCCATAGAGTGTTATAATGCCGGAGAGCAGCTCGAATGCCTTGCTCTGCACATACGGCTTGTTATCCTGATAGCGTCTATACGCCTTCAGTGCATCACAGTAGTCCAGCAGGCAATTGCCCAGCAGCGTGGTACTCGGAGTTAGCTCCAGGAATAGGTGGAAATCTCTATCTATATTATGACCCCAAAGATCAGCGTTGCGTGGCGCATTGCGTGGCTGCTGACTGGCATGGAATATGTAGAAGCGTGGCCGCAGAATGCAGGTGGTTAGCTCCAGAGCCAGCGACTCAGCTATCTGAAAGAGACGCCAGACGCCAGATTAGATAATCAATATGGGAGTCGTAGAGCAGTAGTACTTCCTGGTGGGTCAATCTTGTGGATATGTGTATGTCGCTGACGACTAGCAGACGCTGCAGACACTCCTCCTCGGCGGCGCTCTTGAGCAGCACACTCACGTCCTTGGTGCGCAGCACGTCCAAGTACTCCTTGTCCAGGTACATGGCGGTGCGATAGGCCAAGACGATGCGGCGACCGAGCTCGACGCCATGCTTCAGCTTGGAGCCAATGCCCAGGAGCGTGTCCAACGTCTCCTGCTTCTCCTTCGATGGAATCTCCTCGAACTCGAGCGTGGAGTAGCTATCCGAAAGGTCGCTGCTGCATCGATTCATGGGACTCTGATTGAGCGTCAAACGATTGAATTTGGGAAAGGCGCTCTTTTCGATGTCGCTCAGCAGCTGACGCTCCTTGTTGGACAGATTTGCGATGCTCGTGACGCCCTCGGCCAGGGCCATGGCAAAGACAATGAAACGCAAATCGTTGGGTCGAAACTCAAAGAGTTCCTGCAGCCGCAGCGCCTCCACGATATCACCTTCGTCCAAGAGCAGATTGAGTAGGTCAATCAAGCGCTGCTCCATCTCAGCGGTCAGGTGGGATTTGTTGGCTATGCTCAGGTCATCGATGCCAGCCAATTCCTTCAGCTCCGAGAAGGATTTGTAGAGCACGCAGCGCTCTTGTCGCATAATCTGCTCAAAGTATTCGGAATGATAGAGCTCGACGCTCTCGAGCTGCTCCGCGTCCAGCTGCAGATAGCATATGACCATGTCGTACTCTATCTGATCCCTGTCGAAGCATTCGTTGGGAAACAAATGGTGCTGCTTGATGACGCCCAGCGAGCTCTGCAGCAGCTCGTAGCGACGGCGCAGCTGTGTGTCCGGCTGCTGCTGGGCAGCAGCTTGCAGGAGGAAGTTCACCAATATGGCTGGCGGCAGGGCGTGCTGCTCGATCTCCTGCTCGTACTGTTCGTGCAGACGTAGTTGGCCCGCCTCTAGCTCGGCCAGCCACTTGGCGTAGACGATGTCGGCCAGCGGCAGCTGCAACAACGTCGCCAGCTGCAGCGCCTGGTCATAGGCCTTGGCCTCGGTCAGGGCATCCACCAGACGTTTATACTCCAGGCTGTCCCGCCGCACCAGCTGCTCGTAGTCGATGCCCAGCTGGCCCAGCCAGGGCGCGGCGACGCCAAAGATGCGATGCAGCAGACAAAAGTCCAACAGATCGCAAATGTCGCCCACATCCGAGCGGCAAATGCAGTCGAGAAACTTTTGCTGCTGCTGAATGCAGTCGAAGTTGCACTCCAGCTGCAACAGGAGCAAGCCAATGCAGCGTTGCATCAGCTGTTTGCGTGCCAGCGGCTCACACAGCGGCAGCTGCACTGCGTCCTGGCTGCAATTGCAAAAGAATTGACGCAGCTCCACAATAGTTGAATCGCTGAAGTCCTGCCGTTGCCCAGTCAGCTGCAGAAAGCGACAAAGGTGCAGAAAGGAGCAGTCCTGTAAAGAGCGTGAACTGTATACGATTGGCCAAGGGCATTGGAGCTAGGCACTCACTGGCTGAAAGATGCAGAAGCTGTGCAGCAGCGCGTTCAGCTGACCCGCCTTGACGGCGCCTCTTATGACAGACCAAATCAGTTCGGTTTGCTGCAGCGGCTCCTTGGCCCTGCTGAGCTGCTGGAGCAGCTGCTGCCACTGGCCGCTGGCCACGGCCAGCCACAGCAGCCAGCACCAGTCGCGATTGTGCTCGCCCCACGTGGATGCCAGCACAGCCAACACTGGCATTTGCTGCCTCACGCAGTGCTTGAGCAGATTGATGCTGCTGCAGTGATTGGCGCTGCTCTGCATGAGCTCCGCAAGTCGCGCCAGGCTGCTGATGGCTTCCTCTGGCAAGCTATTGCTGCTGCAGAGCACCAGGGCAAACAGATCCGGCTGGGCATTGTGCGTGAGCAGGTCGCACAGGGATTGCCCGTTGACATGCTGCAGCTGCTGCAGATTGGCGTCCAGGCCGGAGCTATGCGAGGAGTTCGTCATCGTTTCTTGTGAGGAATTGGTTTGCCCATCGCCGCGTCGATTGGCTGCGCGCTTGTGTTGCCTCTCATGGCTGCCATCGTAGCTGAGCGCGCGCAACAGGTGAATGCCCAAAGACTTGCACTTGAAGTGGGGCAGCAGTTGCCTCAGCTCGGTCAGGGGCAGCTCAAAGTACTGGAAGAGCAGCAGCAGCTGCCACCAGTCGTTGTGTTCCGCAAAATGCTGCAGCATAGCCGCTGGCCATTTGCCCTGGACATTGCGCGCCGCCAAACGCATTAGAGCTTGGTAGGATTCGAGCGGAAAGTGCTCGGGCTGATGCAGCAGCTGCTGCACCAAAGCCTGATCCCATTGCTCCAGCTGCAGCGTGTAGCTGCCACATGCCACGGCTGGCGGCAGCTGGCGCTGCAAGTGCAAATAGCTGCGCAACGTTTGCGTATCGAAATCCAACATTTCACAGCAAGCGACGCAGTGCGTCACCAGCTCCTCATCGCCAGCGTGCTGCAGCGCCAGCTGCGTTGCCGTCTCACACGCATGGAACAGCTGAGTGCGTGTGATCTGGCCGTACAGCTGCAGCTGCTCCATGATCAAATAGTACACAGCATAGGCGCTCCGCTGCTGCTTCAGGTAATGCGTGTAGTTCAGCTGGGCCTTGCGCGCGTAGCGCTGGCTCAGCCTGGCATTGGAGAAGCTGACCAGCTCGCCGGGTGCGGCAGCCAGATTCACCTGCTTGAACTTGTGGAAGAGCTCATGGGCAGTGGGTAGGGCGCTGCAGCTGTTGGTGGCATGGCGCTCAAAGCGCTGCATCAGCGAGTTCAAATAGGGCACGCGACGCAAGTTGCTGGATGAGAGAAAGCCTTCCAGGGAGCGCACAGTCGGCTCGTGGCAGAGGAAATCGAAGAAGGTCAGCAGCGGCTGCTCCTGCAAAGAGTCTGCAGCGTGATGCGTGCGCTCCAAGTAAGATTGAACGCTCTGCGAGATCTGCAAGCAAAATTGGAAAAGATTTGTAATTTGTATACATGGAGCAAGGCTCAGTCCAGCTGCCATACCAGCTCGAAGCCATTGCGGTCCGTCAGCTCGTGCGTCTTGAGATCGATGAGCAAGCTGAGCAGCGGCTCATCCTCGCCCACCAGCTGCTGCTCCAGCGACGAGATGGGCACACACTTCAGCAGCAGCAGCGTATGATAGCCACGCTGCAGCATATGTTTGGCCAATGGCAGTTGGCTGAGCAGCGGCTGCTGCTGCTCCAGGCACTGCATGGTGCACAGGCGACGCAGCAGCGTCGACATATCGGAGGCCTCAGCTGGAAAGAAGTAGCCAGCGCTGGCGAAATGATTGCGCAGTCGCTCGCAAGGCTCTTTCAGATGGACCAAGGCATATTCGTACATGGCTGCATCGATTTGCCACATGGCAAAGGCTTGCTCCAGTGGCGGCAGCTGGTCACGCCCATCTTTTAGCTGCTCGCACAAGCACCAGCGACGCAGCTGATGCTGCGCTCCGGCAGCGACGAGATGCTGCCAAACGAGCTGTTTATTGAGCTCCGGCAGCAGCGTTTCATTGCCATTGGCAAAGTAGAGTTCCACTAGAAGCTGCTGCAGCACTTGCTCCGGCAGCTTCATCAATGCTTCGATGTGGACACGTGGCAACAGGTCCTGATGCTTGGCCTGCAGCTCGCTGCACTCGCGCACCTGTTGCACCAGGCGCCAGTAGTAATCCAGCACTGGTTGCTCCTGCTCGTACAGCTGCGGCTCACGGCAGCGCAAATGGTCCAGCACAAATTCACTGAGATCCGCATCGTCGCACTCGCAGGCATATTGATAGAAGAAGCATTTCACATCGCGCTCCACATTGTGCAGCACGTTTTCCGCCTTGCACACCAGTCGCTCGGAGAGCAGACGTTGCACATACGCCTGCACGACATCGTGAAAGTAATGTCTATACTCGGGTATTGCTATCTTTCGTTTGCCAGCCCAATATTCGATGCATAATTCTATGTGCTCGCCCTTGGTGGCCACCTCCTTGATGATGGACACCTCGCTGATGCCTGACCAGCTTTTGAATATCTTATTACGTGCCTGGACGCTGTTCATCATGTACGTAAAATTAGCTAGCTGTTGTGGGCGTGTCTCTTACTGCAGATTTTTTTTTCATATTTTCACAGTGCGCTTTAGAAAAATTTTTGTTTCCTTTGTTTGCAACAACACAAGCAACAGTTATGTTTATCTGCATTGCAAACAGCTGTTCAGCTAAGTAGCGCTGCCAGCTGATTAAAAAGTTCCTACGCGCGCGGAGTACATTTTGAATTTCTGTGTGTGCAATAAGGCCTTTTCAGTAAGCAGAGTTGCCACCCGGCGAATGGAATGCGCTTAGTAAGTGGATTTTACATTGATGCTTGTAAGGTTTCCAATACTTTTCAATAAGCCAATCAACCACCATGATTCTTATCAACCTTCCACCCCGCAAAAGACAAATATTTTTTAAGTACTAGTATTAAATACTTCTTAAAATTGTGAAAATATTTTCGCCTACATCAGTGTGATCAGCCGTCATTTCAACAGTTTTTACAACAGCTGTTAACCACGCAGCGTTGCCACCTAGTCTGAGTACTACTGAGTACTTTTTGAATTGTGGCGGCTTTCTGCAAATACGTTTTGTCAACTTATTTATTTACCAAGCCTTTTTATGTGGTAATTTAATATCTTATTAAGGCGTCCTTGCCTTGCCTTGCTTGAAATTTAATAAATTGCAGGAAACGACAGCAGCTACGCAAACAAGTTGGCCAGCCAAAGGTTCAGCCACACGGAGGGCTTGAGACCACACACAAAAAAAGCTAAAAAAGTACCTGGCAGCAGTAACAACAGAATTCCTTGTTATGCTTAATGTTCTCATGTTGGGGACCTTTTTACATATTCTTTTGCGCTCGCACTGTTTTCGCTAGAACAATTTGTACAAGTGCTAGCAATTGTAAGTGTGTGCAGGTGTGTGTTAGTAGATTTGCAATTGCTAGCTTTACTACATCCGCTTTACATCATTTGGGTGGGCCTCAAAATAAATCAGCTTACATTTCCAAGAATGTCACATTTTTACAAGATTAAAAACAAAAAAAAGACAAGACCCTTTCTATCAAGACAGCAAGTGAATGCCGTTTAGTTTTTTGACTGCCATTAATAAATTTCACACGAATGTTTTACATGGCATTTGAACATTAAAACGTTGCTCAGCACTAAACCTTAAGTTGCGTAAGCTGATATTCTTGTGCCCCTTCAACTTCTTCTTTTGGTTTTATGCAGCGGCATAATAATTCTTTACATTGTTGCTGCTGTTGTTGTTGTTGTTACCGTTTTGGTCACTTAACAAATAGTCGAAAAGCTTTATGGGATATTGCGCTTTGCAGTTTGTTTATAAGCGGGTGACTTGGCAATCCAAACCGGTTTTCCCTCTCTCTCTATCTTTTTATGCCTCTCTCTCTCTCTCTGTCTTTCTCTGGTGTGTGTGATTTATAGTTACGCACAAGCGCGCAAATCCAATTAGACGAACTGTCTGGCTGACTGACTGACTGACTAACTGAGTGACTGTAGCCCGCGGGCAAATAGAGTCACAAAACGCCGCCAGGCCAGAGGACGGTCGTAGTCCAAACTTATGTCTCACAAATGCTCTTCTTGCCATAAATATACATAAAACCAACGCCAGAAATAAATACATTTCAAATACAGTGAATGCTCTGCTAGCGGACAGTTGCCTCAGGCAAAATGTCATTTAGTCAACTAATTCAAACTTTGGCCCAACTTTCCCATTTCAATATTTGCCCATTCCAAGTCCCATCTTTTGCCCTACTTTTTATTAAAGGAATTTCCCGTTGACTAATGGTTGGAAATTCTCAAAAATTATGTGGTCATGAAATTTCCATAAATTGTCAGGGATATCCTTTTTAAAATAATTTTCCCATGCTTAAACAAAGGGATATTGTCAATAAAGCTTGAGACATGGAAACATGCACACAAATATCCCTGTTATTTCAACGCACTCCTTTGAAGTTGATTTGTTCTACAAAGAGGTGTTCGCTATAGACTGCTTTTACTATACCTAAGCGTACATATGTATGTATGTATATGAGACATATTGTTAACTCAACCAATTTATAAACCACTTAACCCAACCTTTTTGGTTTTTTCAGGAATTTTGCTTCGTTGACCAAAAAATATTCCCATAAAATACTTTGGACTGGTCATAAACCTAAAATATCCCTATTAATACAAATTTACGTTGGCCGCATCATGAATGCCAATAAAGCTGTTCACCTTAGGGGGATTTCACTGTAGCTAAACGTACATAAAAATATATTTCAAATAGATTCGGGTCACCCGCTGTATCTACTTTTTCTCTTTTTACTTTATGTTTTTTGTTTTATTTGGCTGTTTACATCATCGTTCGTCGTTCGTTTGTCCCCGTGGACGCGTGGCGGGAGGGCGAGCTTTTGTTGCATTTTTAAATATCAAAGCAAAGCAAACTGCAGCATCTTTATCTAAAAGCTGAGACACATGTGTGTGTGTGTGTGTCATAATACCTTTGGCATGCCGGGGCAGCTGACAGCTGAATAACTTGGCTGCTGCCTGTTGCATGCAAATTTCAACATATGGAGCAATGAAGTGGTGCCAGCTGATGACGTCATCGGAGGAGCTCAATTGAAATGCAGCAGGCAGCAATTGCAAATATACAGATATAATATATATAAATATATTTTATTTATGTAAAAGGGCTGTAATTTTTGGCCTTAGCGTTTCCCACGTGAAATACCTTTGATTTCATATCAGCAATTCGAACTGGAACTGGGTGTGTTTCGTTTATGTCAGCGTTTCGCACTGGAATGCTTAAGCAGCACCCGCTTCCACTCCCACTTCCAATGGCGTGTAACCTTCAGCAACCGTTTGGCCTGGCATATTAAGGGCTTTTCCAATGGAAAGTCAAGAGCCGGTTGGGTCAGCTGTAAGAGCAGCTACTACAGATTTGGTAATGCCAGTGGACAATAGACAATAGCTGATTGATAGTCGTCGCACATTCCATGCTTCCTCTTCGTCGTCCACCACCCGGAGCAGCGGTAAACTTGTTTTTGTTTTGCAAACCACACAAAATAAAACAAATGTGTGTGCGCCCACCAAAAAAAAAAGCCAAAAAAAAAGCTGATGATTAATTGCAGAGGAGCTGCCTGCCTGCCTGCTAGGCGCGAACTGAATGTGCGTGTGTGCGTGCGCGTAGTTGACCGCAAGCCGGCTGGAAGCTGGCTGGAAGCAAAGCTGATCTAAGCGAGCAGAGACATGCTTAGCCGCAAAAACATCCCCGGGCTGACACTGTGATGGGCCCCGAGTGCATGAAATCTAAACGAGCTTTTGACTTTTTATCATTTAAAATCGGTTAATGAACTGTGCGAATGGCAAACGAAAGTTAAGAACTAGTCGAGAACCGTTGAATATTCTTTTTTGGCATATTTTTAGCTATTGTTTTTCTCCTTCTACTTCTTCTTCTTTTGCGTTTGGCTGCTGTTGCTTTTATTGTGGCAATTTGCATGTTGCCACCTTTCGCTTGTACCGTTAGACGATACGCTGCAAGCATATACATAGGCATAAATTAACTAGCATAGAATGGGCTCATTAGCACCTGATTGACATTGCAAAATTTGCATTTAACGGCCATAATCATAATCGGGCACAAATATTGGCCCAAATCATTTTATTTATTTCTGATTTTTTAAGCTGGATTGACGGCATCGTTGGTGGTCGTTCTGCTCTCTCTCTCCCTCTCTCTCTTTCGTCCTCTCTCTTTGCTTAATTGGAAGCGACTTGCGCTGAAAATCAAAAGTGCCAACAACAACAGCTATAGCAAACGGCAACAATAAGAAGGAGAAGAAGAAGCAGCAACACATAAATCAACTTTGAAGTGCAGCGACGCAGCGAAGGCTCAGCCTCAGCCTCAGCTCGGCCTTGCTTATCAACGTTTCCTTCATTTTGCGCTGCTGCTTCTTGTGCTGTGCTGCGTTTCTTTTTGTTTTAAGTCTTTACTTTCTTTGTTTGCCTTTTGTCCGCTTGAATTTTTGGCTAAGTGCAGCCGCCGTTCGCTGCCAGCGTCGCAGTCGCCGCAACAGGTTCTCGTTGACGTGCTTGTTCTTGTTGTTCTTTAGCAAGAACTGGACGCATAGCACGCGCAACAGGTTCTGTCCACTGCCTGATTAAGTGGCGAGTGAGTGAGCGACCGAGCGAGCGAGCGAGCAGCCGAGTGCGCATTTGTATATACATGTGTGCGTGTGTATGTGTGTAGTGGCTCTCTTGCACGCTCTCAGCCACGCACACATAAACACGCGGACTTGCAGGCGCGCTCTTTGACAGCTGAGATACTGAGTGAGTGACTTTCAATATTACAAAAAATATACCTGTTTATGCTCGTTGTTGTTGCTATTGGTATTGATTTGCTCGGCATGCATTTGCTCCCTGCTCTATGATAAGACTGACACCCATTAGCAAACATTTTAACTAAATAATATGGAATCGACTCTCATATGTAACATACTGCGAGCAGCGTTCAAATTTCCACTGGGGGTTTTCTTTGCCTCTGACAACAAGCGCAGGTAAGCGCAGACTTAAGATTGCGGCTTTGTCTCTGTGTGTGAGTGTGTGCGCTCTCCGGCTCTTGGGCTCTCTCTCTCTCTTTCTTATGGTTTGCGTGGCCGAAGAAAAACATTTTCGCAATTGCCGATGTGAGAGCGTGTCTTTAAGTGTGCGCGTGTAGGTGTGTTGGACTCTGGCTCGCCGCTGCTGCTGCTGTTGCTGTTGCTGCCGCTGCCGTGAGCTTTGCCTGATCGCGCCTCAGTCTCCAGTCATTCAGTCAGTCCACTTTTGGCTCTCGTCTCGTGCAGTTTAGCAAAGCAAGCAAATAAGTAAATGCACCGCGTTCATTGGCCGCGCGTTTACGTGTACGTGTGCGTGTGTGTGTGTGTCGTCTAGCTGGTGTGTATATACATATGTGTATGTATGTATGTGTATTGGTGTACACACAATGCAATTAATACAATGAAAATTAATATAAAACAAGAAATGAATTAATTTTTTGATTCTCTGTTTACATACGGTTCAATATAATTGATGACAACACTTATGTGAGTGTATGTATGTGTGTGTGTGTGAGACTGTGCTGGTGTTGGTGTTGGTGTAAAGTAAAGCAGCGACCATCACGCGTTGAGCTAGCAAACAAAAGTGCAAC